AACTTTCTGTTAAACCTAGAATAGAATGAAGACCTAAATTGTCACTTGCTAAAGATATCATAGAGAAGTACACTCTTACTTGTATGCTATCGACAGATATCAATAATTCATTAATTAAGCAAGTAATTACCTCGGCACCTTTTCCTATTCGTTTCTTGGCTTTCTTTGGTTCTGAAGGTGTTTACTTAACAGTCGCTAATAATAGTTTCTCAAAAGTGCAGTGTCTGTGATTTGGTGTTTGTATGCTTGAAGATGGACCAGGCTGACAATTTTCATGATTATTTACTGAACCATCTGGCAGTTCATTGTTATTGTTTTCTGGCACGGCATTGTTCTTGGTATCATGCTGCTCCTATCTTTTGTAAGGCAGAGGATCGTATTGTTCCTTTTTAATGACATTTTAGTCATATGGAAAAATCCCTCCTTTTTTGAAACCGTTAGAGATAACTTTTGGATATATTTGCGACCACACTTGTCCCACTAGCTGATTAAATTTTTTCTTAGGAATTTTTCGCACCTCATTATGCTTTTGCCATTCCAATGGCGCTGTTTCCCATTTCCCTTTTAACGATTTGAACACGCTTAGGTCTAGGGGCTGCAGCAAATGTGAAGAGTGTGAAGGTAATTTTAAAATTATAACATCATTTTCTTTGGCTATTTAAATTAACCTTGAATCCACGTGTAATGCATGCCCATCATAAATAAATAATATCGATCTATCAGATCCAAAATCTGCTAATAACGAATCCTTAAAGTAGGAAACAAAAAGTTCGGATTCCATCAACCCATTTTTTGGTGCGGTATATCTTGTACCCGGATGTGGTTGTGATGGAGGAGCAACCCATTCGTCCCGCATGTTTTTACCTTTATACACAATTAGTGGTGGTGCCTTATGATCGTCGGCACTTACCACCACTAATACGGTTATATTTTCCCTACCAGATCCGGCCGTAGTTCTGGAAGATGGTGCTCCTCTTTTGCACATGATTTTTGTTTTTGATGGGTTTAAGGAAATGTTCATTTCATCAAGATTCCAAATCTGGCGTGGTTTATTTTCTAATTAATGTTCACTTAACTGGTCTTTCAAAAGTTGAAAATATTGGTTAAATATAAACGGGTCTAAACATTTCTTGCGTGCGAATTCTAAAGATTGTGGTTTTTTAATTGACAATTTATGTCTTAGCAAATCTTAAGAACCAATCTTCCTCAGGACGATTATTTTTGAAGGGAGTTTTCAACTTGTTTATAGTGATAAACTTCTCAACAATGTTAAAAATTTCATGTCGAGTTAACCCCCAGTCCCATTTTTCTAAACTGATAATGCATTCAGCAAGTTTAACTTCATCTTCTGGAGGAATTGCAGTATTTCTAACCATAGTTTTACTTTTTGTACTCCTCATTCCTCGTCTATGGTAGCTTAAAGTCATTTGAGGAATGTTGTACTTTTTGGAGAGCTAGTCTTAAAGAATCTTTAGTATATCCGGTTGCTTTATTAGACTTTCTTGCGTATACTCGATCAGACGGATCGTGGCGAATCTAAATCATACACCACGCAATACGTAATACTTTAAACTATTTTTGCGGTCAACATTCAAAGCGGGCATAGGCGGGCGTCAAGACTTATTACAGTTCAAAATCGTCAAAATTCATGATTTACTTTCTCATGATGTTAACTGGCAATCAAGACATCAATTGTTAAAACTGTTAACTACATATGATAACACTTACCTAAAACCTTAAAATCCATGTTTTCTTCAAAAATAACTACAACTCAAAACGTTACAAAATTACCTGAAGGTATACCAATGAAGCGCTGAGACAAGGTGACCTAATAACTTGCCCTGCGCCCTTATAAGGAAATCCATGTTGCTTAGGTAGATTTGCATTGTTATGTTTCTATACTTAGGAGCTTCTTATTATGTTTATTAATATTACGGTTAGTTTTATTAACGTTTTTATTCACACCCTTCTTAGGAGCTAACAGCTTGTTCATTGCTCTAACTTAATCTTACTTACTACCTATCGCACCCTCTAATGTCTCTATTTGACATCCATTGCAGGTAACTGCACTGACTATCACATCCCCCCTTTTCTTTCACAACACTTCACTTTCACTCTCTACGGCGTGTTCCGTACCTTCCGCATCAGAGCATTATACGGTTGTAGGATACATTATTCTGAAGCGATCTTTCTAATAACATTTTTTCGAAATGTTTATAATGACCGCACGGGAACTGATTTGCGATCTGCTGATTGGACGAAAAACAGTTCGTTTAAACAGTTTCCGTGCGGTCATTATAAACATTTCGAAAAAATGTTATTAGAAAGATCGCTTCAGAATAATGTATTCTACAACCGTATAATGCTCTGATGCGGAACATACGGGACACGCTGTATATCTAATCAGTTTCGCAACATTTCTTCCCGACCTAGTCTTATATACATTCGTATCAGAAGCTACAGTATTAGATATATAATATTTTCTAAATTCATTTTGATTATTAGTATTATTATGTATATTCGAACTAACTTCTTTAAGTTCTGGTATTTTGTCTTGTTCTGGTATTTCGTCTTGATCTGGTATTTCGAATTTAATAGGATTAGGTGAATTTTTAATGGAAGATGCGTTACGCCGGTAGTTATTACCAAATTTATCTTTGACAATATAAGACCTTGAAAACTCTGTACATTTTTGTATTTCACCTGGAACCCACATTCTTTTTTTCTTAATCATCACACTATCTCCTTCCTTAAATGTTTGTCTTTGTTTTGCATGTCTACCATAATATTCTTTTGTTTTTTCTCTTTTTTCTTTTAACAGATTATAATTTATAATTGATTTTTTATTTAATAAATTTTTACTAACTGGAAGTGTTGTTCTAGTGTTCTATTATTGATTAACTCCGATGGAGTGACATTCAACCCTCTAAGAGGAGTATTTCTATAGTTCAATAATGCCAAACTAACATCCGTATTGGTTTCATCACATTTCCGAAGCACTGATTTACAAATGTCTACGGCTTTCTTTGCCAAACCATTAGACTCAGGATATCTAGGACTTGGTGTAACTAAGTCAAACTCCCCTAATTTTGCAAAAGACCTAAACTCTCTACTATTAAAAGGCATATTATCAGACATAAATGTTATATAAGTCTTTTTACTTTTCAACACTATAAATGTTGTTGGTATACCATGTGTTAAAACTACTTTTAGTTTGTTAATGATTTCACTAGCCGTTTTGTATTTTAAAAGAATCAATTCTATCCAATTACTAATAAAATCTACCACCACAAGATAATCTCGAGTAGCATATGTCAAAATATCAGCAGCCACTTTAATAAATAGTAACTCTGCTCTTGTGTGTTGTATTAGCGGTTCTTTTTGTATATTTTTGCTAAATTTTAAACACGTCGCGCATCCTGCCACATAGTTTTGCACGTCAACAGATAGACCAGGTCAATAAAAAAATTTCCTAGCTCTTGCCTTTGTTTTTTCAATTCCGAAATGTCCTGAGTGCAATTTTTCTAAAATTATTTTCTTTTGACTTTCTGGTACTACAATTTTATCTTCAAAAAGTAAAATATTATTTTTCAATATCATTTTAGTTTTAATAAATGAACGTGATAATAGATCAGCTATAAACATGAATTTACCTGGTAAGTATTTTACTTTAAAATTATATTTTAATATTTTTAATTTCATTCTTTCTAGTCTACTAGTTACTTTCGAAATTTCTTTCTTATTTTTAGGCCATATACATAATGATGAAACTTATTTAAACAAAAGCATATTGTTAACATTTCTTTTTCAATTTGCGAATATCGCTTTTCTGTGTCTGTCATACTACGTGATCAAAATTCTATTGGCTGTCCTTGTTGAAGCAAACATCCTCCAACACCATTTTGGCTTGCGTCGCACTGTATTACAACAGGTAATTTGTTATCAAAGATTTTTAAATTTGGAATTTTTGTTATTAAATTTTTTGTTTGCAAAAATTTCTGAATGACCATTCGTCTACTTGAAATTTATATTATAAGTTCTCTTAAAAGAGAAACTAATTCTGATAATTTAGGTAAGTATTTTGTTAAATAATTCACCATGCCTAAAATGCTTAACAGTTCGTTTTTGTTTTTACAACGTTTCCTATAACTATCTTGTCTCTTAGCAAGGACTCTTCCAATACACCGAAATTACACTACTTTGCTAACATTTTGATGTCTGTTATGAAATGATCAAACTCCTCTCCCTTATTTTGATACCTAGCAAAAAACTTAAATCTCTCGTAGGTTTCATTCTTTATCGGTTCACATTTTTTTCTTCTTCCGTGAGTCTCAATGTGTCAAACACATTTTGTGCCTCTTCACCGGCTACATTTAAGAATATCGCAACCTTCGTTTCATCATCTTTTGCATCCAGTTGACTGGCTTTTAAAAAGATTTTAAAAGACGATATAAACTTACTGAAGTTGTTGGCGACATTTTGATCGAAAACTAAAGCTTTGGGCGGTCTAAATGCACTGGCGGCCATTTTATCTTCTAATCACGCGTTTTAAAAAAAAATTTTTTATTTGGTTCGTTATTACACACGTTTGCCATCAAAGATTGTATTTACACCTGACACCATGCTATGTTTCTATACTTAGGAGCTTGTTATTATGCTTATTGCACACAAAAAAAGATTGGTCAAATCAACCATATATATATCTGTTGGGGGTTTGAACAATGAGATTCACGAATCCCCATAATTTCTTACGTTGGGGTTTTTAATAATTATTTTCTGTTACTCTCAATAAAACACGTGTCGTTTCTATTGGAATCGTTGGAAGAATTATGTCTCTCTTTATTTCGATCTCTCTCTTACAAAATAAGTCATTCGGAAGTAGCGCCATCTCGCGTTCACGGCACAAGCTTACAACTAATAATCAAACATACTCCCCGCGTTGAAAGTTGGTACTTTCAAAATAAAAGAGAACAAATAATACAAATAAAATACAGCTTAACCTATATTGAGTCTCTCTCTTCCGTGCAAAACGGTAACACACAAACTCTCTTAACTGTCGTAGTAGTTTCTCCAGCTGCAGTCTTCAACTTCACAGTACGAACCACACCGTCTTGTCCGGGTAATATTTCTATGACTCTACCAAGTTTCCATTGTTGCGGTGCTGCGCGTTCGTCTTTGATGACCACCATATCATCAATTTTGACATTGGTGTACTGTTGTTGCCACTTGGTACGTTGTTGCAATGTTTGAATATATTCAGTGCTCCATCTCTGCCAAAAGTGCTGGTACATTTGTTGCAACCTTCGGTATTGCTTGAGCTTGTTGCTTGGAACCTCCGTAACATTTTCCTGGGGCAATGCATTTAAAGGTTTTCCGATAAGAAAATGTCCCGGGTCATTAGGGTGATTGGAAATAGGCATAAGAGGACGTGAATTCAAAACGGATTCAATTTGCACAAAAACAGTATACAGTTCTTCAAAGGTAAGTACAATATCACCAATAACACGTTTAAAATGTTTTTTAGCCGAGCGAACGGCCGCCTCCCATAAACCACCATAATGAGGGGATCGCACAGGAATGAAATGCCAGCGTATATGATTTTTTGCACAAAATACTTCAATTTTCTGTGTTTCTAAAGTCAATTTCTTAAGATGATTATTTGCGCCAACGAAGTTGGTTCCGTTGTCTGTGTAAATGTCTTGACACAATCCGCGTCGTGAAATGAACCTTTTTAAAGCATTCAAAAAGGCATCAGTACTCAATTCACCAACCACCTCCAGGTGTACCGCCTTTGTAGTAAAGCAAACAAAAATACATAAATAGGCCTTGATAATGGCTCGATTTCTTAATTTCCCGCCCTTTATGTTAAACGGTCCAGCGAAATCTATTCCAACGTTATCAAAAGGCTTGCTTTCAAGAGCTCTAACACGCGGTAAGTTAGCCATTTTATACATTACATCCTTAGGTTTAGCTCTAAAACAAGTAATACATGTTCGTAAAACTCCCTTTATAGTATTTAAACCATTTACTGGCCAAAATCTTTGTCTTATAGTTGCCAGAAGACCCTGAGGTCCAACATGTAAGTTACGCAAGTGTTCATCTCGCATAATCAGGTAAGTTAGTTTATGTCCTTTTGGTAATATAATAGGGTGTCTGGCATCAAAGGGATAGTCGCTATTGGCCAATCTACCACCAACTCGCAACAGGTCATCAATGAGAAATGGATCCAAACCCAACAAACCACTGTCACTAGGTAAGCTTTGTAAAGCCTTTAACCGTTTAATCTCGCTAGAAAAGCTTTCCAACTGAGCAATTCTTATCAGTTTCCAGAGAGCATTTTTAAGCTCGTCCCCAGAAATTTCACTACAAGGATTCTTAGTTTTGTTCTTAGTTCTGTCGATAAACTTTAAACAATAAGCTGTAACTCTTTGTAACCTATGTAACGATGAATATTTTGAAAATAAATCAAGTTTTTGAACGTTTATAAATACCATTTTATTTTTCCTAGCTTCTGGCACCTCACTTATGCCTTTTATTTCCTTGCTCGGCCAATTCTCTTCCGTTTGTGATAACCACTGAGGGCCAGTCCACCAAATATCTGCATTTACAAGTGCTGAAGCATCCATTCCCCTGGATGCCAGATCTGCTGGATTGTCCATAGATGGAATGTGCCTCCATTGATTTTGTTCGGTTAATTCTTGAATTTGTGCAACTCGATTTGATACAAATACTTGCCATCTGCTTGGCTCCGAGTTGATCCAGTTTAATGTTATCATTGAATCGCACCAAAGAATGATAGACGTAGGAACATTATTTAATGCTCTAAGTGTATTCGTCAATAAGTTCGCTAATAAAAGTGCTCCGCAAAGCTCTAATCTCGGTACTGTTAGCCCCTTTAAAGGTGCCACTCTTGTTTTGGAAGTTAACAATGATGTTCTTACTTTATTTCCCTTTCTTGTCCTTATGTAAATACAAGCCCCATATGCAGTCTGAGAAGCATCGCAAAAACCGTGTATTTGAAAATCATCAAAGTTATTTAAAAATGCATGACGGTGAATTTTGATCGTATTCAATGCTGAAAAACCATTACATAGCTTTATCCAAGTGCTATGCAGCTCTTCAGGAATCGATTCATCCCAATGGGTCTGTAATTGCCACAGTTTCTGTAGGACTAACTTCGCTCTAACAGTAGTAGGTGCTATTAATCCCAATGGATCAAAAATCTGTGATATGGTAGATAGTATAGTTCGTTTTGTTACACCGCATGTTGGAGGAATGAATTTAACTCTGTAATGTAAAGTATCCGTAGCTGAATTCCAAACCAATCCAAGAGTTTTAGTTTCGATTTCCTTTGTTAAACAATGATCCGTTCCTTCCTCATTTTGCTCGAATTCATCTATATTCGATTGCCATTTTCTCAATTCAAAACCATAATGTTGTAATGCCTCTGTTAGTTGTCGTTTTATTTCAAAAGCTTGACTGATAGTATTCGTGCCAGTCAGCAAATCATCTACATAAAAATCCCTCAAAATAATACTGCTAATCCGAGGTAAATCCTGTTTGATGTCGTGCGCAATTTGTTGTAAACTTCTAATTGCCAAAAATGCAGCTGACGCCGTTCCATAAGTAACCGTGTTAAGTCTGTAATGATGCAGAGGTTGTTTAATATCTGATCTCCATAAAATTCTTTGTAAATCCGTGCACTCATTACTAACGAAAACCTGGCGATACATTTTGGCAATATCAGCGGTTATGACATAATTATGCTCTCTAAAACGATATAAAATCAATACCAGTTCTTGTTGTATTGTCGGCCCAACCATTAGAATGTCATTTAATGACAGACCTGAAGTAGTTTTTGCAGATCCATCAAAAACCACTCTCAACTTTGTAGTAGTACTAGAGTCTTTCAACACAGCATGGTGTGGTAGGTATGTTTTCACAGCATGTTTTCTTGGATTTTGCTCATATGTCCCAGACTTTCATATTCCGCCATGAAGTTCCTGTATGATTCATAAGTAGCTACGTCATTGACTAACCTTTTTTCTAGTTTTAAGAATCGTTCGGTTGCCATCTGAAGTGACTCACCCAATTTTGTGCTTTTCATACGCATTGGAAGCTGTACCACAAAATGTCCCGTGTTGTTTTTTACTGTTGTCTTTGCAAATAGTTCCTCGCATTTGGCCTCTTCTTTGGAATAAGGCTTTGGGATTGAAAAGTCTTCTATTCTCCAAAAGTTCTCCAATTGTTTTCCGATTTTGTCAATAGTAAGACTGCAATGGATTTTTGGGTTGTGTACGTTTAAATTGCATATCGCTACCGGTCCTGATACAATCCATCCCAACACGCTCTTCTGTAATGTAGGTAATCCACTGCCAAGTTTGATCTGTCCAATGGAAACTAACTGTGCGAAAATTCCTGCTCCCAATAGAAGATCGATCTGACTAGGTTCGCAGAAATTAGGATCAGCCAATTTTACCTGTGCTGGTATTTGCATCTCCTTCTGTTTTACTCTAAAATTTGGAAATTCGTCAGAAATCTGCTCAATAGTCAAAAATGATAAATTTGCGTGGAAATTGTTATAAATCGATTTAATCGGTGTACTCACGCCTTCGGTAATACGTGTAGCTGTTTGGTTAATTCCTGTTACTGGCAAATCTACTTTGTATGTGTGCAGTTTCAACCTTTGGGTTAAATCATTTGTAATAAAGTTGGATTGAGAACCAGAATCCAATAAAGCTCGTGCTCTTTGCCATTTACCTTCTCCATTCTTTACTTCAACTATCGCTGTTGACAAAAAAACCTTCTGCTCGTTGGTGGCTTTCAAAGCTTGTACGGTTGGTTGTTCATCGTTTTCTTTGGTGTTCTCTGGTGTTATATTTGTCGCTGTTGGAATTGGTTTTGCTACATGTAACAATGTATTATGCCTTTCCGCACATTTTTTGCACGTGGACAACGACTTACATTTGCTCGCAAAATGGCCACCCTTCAAACAATTGATACAAAGTTTCAATCGTTTTGCCTCGTTATACTTTGTTTTTACATCTAAATCTTTAAATTTACCGCAATTGTAGATCATGTGATTTCCCTTCCGCTTTGTCGACGGTCAAATGTGCCGATAACTTTCCAATTTTTGGTTTGCCTCTTTCGATCGTTTCGAAAACATTGCATCGGTTTGTTAAAAAATCAATCATACTTTGTGCATCTGGCATTTGTTTTCTTTTGTACGTTTCAACAACGTGTTCTTCCCATTTAAATCGCGTTGTTTCATCTAATTTTCTGGCTAAGATATGAATTAAAAGCGTACCCCATTGCTCGACGGGTTCACCTAATGCCTTTAATGCGCGCGTGTGTCTGTTGTAATCGTCAAGTAAACGACGTAAATGCATATGAGATTCCTTTGTAATCGCTGGTAATTCGAACAACGCCGATACGTGAGTTTTTATTATTTTTTCTTTGTTCTCGAATCTTTCTTTTAACAAATCACGTGCAATCTTGTAGTTATCTCGCGTTATCTCTAATGAAGCGATTGTTTTCGCCGCATCACCCTTTAAACAGCTGATCAAATAATAAAATTTGTTTATATCATCCATATGCGGATCATTATGTACCAAAGCACAAAAAGTTTCATCGAAATGTACCCAATCCACGTAATCACCATAAAACTTAGGAAGATCTAACGTCGGTAATTTTACATTTTTTTGTTGACTTGAATCGCTTTGTCTCGGAAGCGCGTAAACATCTATTGTATCACTTGCCGCTGCCGACGTAGTCGGTGTCCGTATTATGTGTTTTTCCACGAATTCAGTCGCCTTAGATAGGATCGCAAAATACTTATTTTCAAAATTATCGCGTTCATTGCCTGTTAGCTCGTTTTCGTCGATTAATTCTAATTCTGATTGTATCTCGTTAAACTCGGCTAAAGCGTCCTTGACGTGTTCTAACCGAATTCTTGCCTCGTTTGCATTTTCCGGTAACGCTTTTTCAATATACGTTTCAAATCTAGTAATTCTTGCTTTTATTTGACCTCTATTTACTGTTAAAACTTTCTTTCGTTCTGCCATTGTTGAATGAAAATGTAGGAAGGTAAGAAAAGGAACGGGACTTACGTACGTCACTGCGTTGCTCTTCCTGGCTCTTCCCATGGACGCCCAAAACCACCCAAAACTGCTTTTGTTTCTGTAACTATGCGGTTCGAAGGACCATATGTTGGGGGGTTGAACAATGAGATTCACGAATCCCCCATAATTTCTTACGTTGGGGTTTTTAATAATTATTTTCTGTTACTCTCAATAAAACACGTGTCGTTTCTATTGGAATCGTTGGAAGAATTATATCTCTCTTTATTTCGATCTCTCTCTTACAAAATAAGTCATTCGGAAGTAGCGCCATCTCGCGTTCACGGCACAAGCTTACAACTAATAATCAAACAATATCTTCAAAAATGTTTAATTCTTTGAATGAACTGAACACTTACTTCAACACTTATTGCTTAATTTGAGTAAACTTGAATGGTTTACTTGACCGGATATTATAGTCAAAACAAAGCTTTGTTTTAATGAAACTTGTATTCAATTCAATTAATCGGTAGAGTCAACAGGAATAAAAATAAATATATTTGAAGTAAACAAGAATTTTACTCCAATGGAGTAAATTATGTTTGAACGGACGATATAAATATATTTGAGGTAATAATATATTTTTTCTTACGTTGATACTAAACGTGAATTCGTTTTGAAGATGTGAATCCCCCTTTTCAGACTTGTTTTGACAACTTACAATAACCAAACACCCTAAATTTCTCTCTCTGAAATTTGACGGTATTACTTGAGATGTGCGATTGTAATGACGAGTTCTAACAAGTCGGAACATTTGTAGGTTGCACAAATTGCTAAGCTTATAATATACGGATTCAAGTGAAACGGTAAAAATTAAATACAGTCCGGACGTGTCTGTAACTTTTTATCGTTTATAATAATAAGTTTATTCTAACCAGCCACAAAAACTATTTAAAAACGGTTTTTATCGTATGTTGGGACAAGTCTATCATACCGCACTAAACCGGTTATTGTAATGCTGTAGAAATGACTTACCTACAACAGATAATAAAATAAATAATATTTAAATAACCTTACAGAGAATGATATTGATTAGGAACTTTTTGTAAAATTAACACCTGATGAATTAAAGGAAGTAGTACCTTCAGTGGGAATGCGGGCTAAATTAAAAAGAAAAATTCTCGAACAGAATCCTGAAATTAATGTAAATTTTGTATGTACTCATTCTTTCAATATTTCATTTTTATTTTATAATAGGTACTAAATATTTTCAAACCATTAACATTTTAGATTAATGCTAACAAAGAAAATGAATCAAATAGCATAGTCAGTTGTTTGAGTAGTGACATTTCATTTGGTGAACTCGATCAGAATTTGAATCCCGCAATCTCCATAGCAATTTTCCAGATTTTGAACAGAGTACTAAATTATTACAAAACCAATAACGTAATGGATCATACTAGACGTACACGCTTAGTCGATATAATCATCAAACATTTATACACCTACATTATTAAAAAGTAAGTGATATGTAAAGAATAATTCCTTTTTGAATGTCTTAAATATTTTAAATAATACATTATTTTTATAGCCGGTTACAACATGAGCACTATAATATCTTAGCCAGTAAAATAATAAGACTATTTCTTACCGAAACAGTGGGAACGTACTATGTTTCTGCTGTGAAAAAAAAGGATTCGCCCACCAGAAGACCAATATTAGCAAAAGGTCGGCTTGTGGATAAATGCGAAAATCTAATCTGCCGTTGTGGAGAAATTTCTTCAAAGCAACGTCGTTTATCCGGTAATTCTGCTGAAGAACAAGGGGAAAATGTGGACGAGTGTAAGTCAAATTACTTTATTTGTTATTTTTGTTCTTATTATCCATGTTATAGCTCTCATATCACACCAAACGTGGCTAAAAATAAATTCAGAACCATGGTTAACAGTCCCAGACAAGTGGCAAAAAACCTTTGAGTTAAGGCAAAGAGAAAATCTACAAAACGTTGCTGCATTTTTAGTAAATTTGCCTAGCCTTAACGATAAAAGAGCTGATATCTTGGTAAGCAGTTATTATAAATATGATTAATAGTAGATATCGAGAATTTATTTTTAGATAAATTTAGATTACAATTTATTCTATCCAGAAACAAGTACCCAGTTGTATAGTACATGGACAACTTTTTTTGATGCCGTTTTGAAACTGAAAATAAACAATATTAAAGACAAATATAATCTTAAACTTTTAGATGACCTTAAAACTGTCGATAAGGAAGGTAAATGTATCTGTCATTCTATTCAATTGCACGTGCTTAAAGCAATATTTTAGATTCCAAACTAGCAATACAACTAAGCTTATTACCATATCTTATTCCACCGCGCGGAAGAACAACGTATGGTAACAAACACTGGAAATTATCTATTCTAGAAACTCTAAGATCAATAATTGTTTTCGTTCAGGTATAATAATTGTGCACGTGATGTATTTATATTAATTTTCATAAAATTGTCTAGATTCCTGGAGATATTGACAAGACTATTGACGAACGAAGGGCAGCCGCAACATTAAGGAAACAACCTGTTCAACCCTACCTTCTTGTTCTTGGATCCACTAAAGAACCAAAGGGGTTCTTCGTAATCGTCGATACATTAAAGTATGAGTATCCTACATTAATAAAATGCTTTGATATTTTGTTTAAATTATTTCATGTAGTGAATATACGTTATCCAATTGAAAGTGAATACCTCTGGGTATTATTTCAAAGAATTATTTATAAAATTATAACCGTCCACGACGTAATTCCGCCATATATTTACGATTTATTGAAGTTAAAAGTTGATTAAATATTACAAGTTCCATTTCTTTACCAGAAAAATCAAAATGTTTAATTTACCTTGTACAAGCTGCAGTAAATTATTTTCTTGTTTCAAAAAATATGCTTTACATTTGGAATGTGTCCACCATTTAAGAAATTATTTTGTTTGCCCAATAACGGAATGTAAAAGGTTGTACCATAGAATGTTTAATTTTAAACATCATATGCTACAGAAACATTCGAACTCTACAGACTCCTGGCCTACCTGGCCGTTCAATATTAAATTTTAAATTCAATATTAAGTAATAGTCATTAATGTATGGTTGGGTTTCAGAATAGTAACTATTTCAGGACTCGAAAATGGGTGATTGGGAACTCAAGTTTTGACGACATTATTATGAAAAAGGTGCTCCATCTAGCGTCCTCTGTAACCCTTTTTTAGGAACCATAATGGTTACCGTTTTACCCATTATAAGTAAACCTATTGTTGCGATATTTTTAGAACTGTAAATAAGTGAATAAATAAACGTCTTAACATAAAGTAGTAATACAATTCTATTATTTATTAAAAACGACCTGTAGTAATACTTCATTAAATAATATCAAATTATTGAGTGAAGGTATAATCCGATTGATATAACACTACAAAAGTTCGTATAAAAGTAGTTGATACATTTATCCCAATGACACGATTACCTTCTTTCAAATATCAAGTAGGTCTGGTGAACCTTTTTAATAGATTGAAGAAACTAATTGATATTTTTCTTTTAACTACACCATAATCTACACTGAAACAATAAAATACTTAATTAGAATATATGAATCGGTTGTTCTGAAATTATAACGTACTTCTCTGAAAACACAGTTTTACGAAACGGTAAAAAATTAGCAAACCAAAATATTTCAAACCACAAAACAATAAAAAATAATAATGCTGTGGCATTGGGACATGGAGTGCAAGTGTTGCAAGTCATGAGCCAACAAAGGCATATATCAAGATTCGGAGTCTCTCTTAAAAGTCGATGATTTTTTTTTAATCGATAGGAAATGAGTCAAAAGAGGCGTTAATGATAAAAAAAAAGTGCGGAAAAGTGTAGTACTTACCGAAAAATCACTTTAAAGTTGCGATTTGACGTTTCTTTTTCGAAGTTGAAAGCAATGTTAAATATGTATTTTCGTATTAAACCCTAACCTTAAATTGTTTAATTTATACCCACGCACAAAATAAAAAGTTATTTTCACTAAACTTATTGAGATTACAACATGTTTTCGGATGAAAACCTTATTTCTTAGGCTATCAAGGCATAACGACAATTACCTGTCGTTAGATAGAATTGTTTCTACCAAATGTGTGTTAATAGACTTTGTGTTAATAGATTGTGTATCAATTGATCTGTCAAACGACTGAAATATCTTTATGTTGTAAGTATAAATGATAAATAAGTATAATAGCTTATTTAATAGTACCTTACTTAAGTTAATATAGTTAATTAATTAAAAATTAATATTAAAAAAGACGTGTACATGGTTACAAAATAACAATAAAAAATAACCCGTGTGACGATGGCAACAAACTGTGTATTTAACCAAATGACAATTATAACTGACAACACAAGCAATGTTAACCATGTATTTTCGTATTAAATCTTAACCTCAAATTGTTTAATTTACACCCACGCACAAAATTAAAAGTTATTTTCACAAAACTTGTTGAGATTACAACATAATTATTCATAATGACACCTATGTGAAGTTAGCCCCCAATTAAATAGCATTTTACATGTATAGTATTTTGATTATAACATGAGAACCACTTAACCGATTTCGATAAAGAATGTCTCATTCGAAACCTTAATCCTTGGCCAATACGAAAGTGGAAATGCCCGATTCGAAATCTCTTTCGAATTTCGCTAATACGCCAAAATAATGCGAAGATACACGAAAATAACACAAAATTGACCTCCTTTAAGTGGTGATAGCTCGTAAACAATGTACGTACCTACGATTATCAAGATTTATACGTCACTCGATTCGTCATTCTATCGAAATCACAAAATGCCCGATTTCAAATCTCTCTCGCTAACTTTATACAGCCCTCGGAATGACACCGTCTTCGGTTCGTTGTTTATGCACGTGTGAATGCTCGAAAGTCTAACCCACAATATAAAAAAATTAATTTAAACTAAATCGA